GACGATGAGAAGTCGTGCTACAGGGGAGCTCGTTTTGATAGATTATATCTTAGCAATCGTGTACTCTTAGTGGTTGTGAAGCTGTTCACATAAAGACGCGGCGGATATTTCTAGGGTGCATGATAGGCAAAGCTGAAGCGTTGATGGTCGGTCCAGATGTGTCAAGAAGTGGCGATGTGGGCTGTTGGTAATCGAGGGAGTTTGGGCCGCAACAAATAAACAAAGAGGCACGCGCATTGCAGCCGAAGCGGGGGAATGCAGCATTTCTGAAGAAGAGGCCGGATGTTGTTCTGTTCAATGAGTATAATTACTAATAGCATTTCTGGAAACATGGGAGGCTTTCAGTATCCAATCAGTATCATGTTTGATGCAGTCGTCCCAAACATGTGTATCCAGGTGCGGGGTATTTTGCACACGCTCAAACAGACGCGCATAGCCGGCACCAATGCAAGCACGGCAATTGTTGTTGTTGTGGTCCTCGAATCGCGATTCACCAGAGCAACGTTCAGAGCCCACTATGCGCACTAATAGACGCGTCGTGCCTGACTTGCGGGATGGCCAACAGCCCTGCACGCGACTGGAGAGCTGACCGCCAGTCGTGTGTGTCCAGCCACAAGTTCCAAGACCAAGGCACAGACACGATGCGAGACTACTGCAAGAGCCGCATACACTATCCCGTGCATGCTAGCATCTGGTTGGCTGGAGAGAGTGAAACGTTTCAAGCCGGCTCTAGGCTACAGCCCCACTCAGACACTTGGTCGAATCGTCGCGTCCAACACCATATATACACGTCCTCCCACCGCGAGATGGTCGCGTTTTCCGATCAATTCTTCGGCTGCTTTGCGTTAAGAGTTGGGAATCCGGTGGCCGGCTCGTTGGCATCTAGGGGAACAATGTTTGACTCACACTTGCAGCTCACGTGTAGTAGCGTTGGGCCCCGCTTTGCGACCATGCACCACGCTGTGGTAAATATGGCTGGCTATGAGGCCGTGGCTGTTCCCGTTGGATTCTGGTTTCCTGAGGTTCGCTTTTCTCTCTCGAATGCTGCATGTTTGAACCGACTTTTACAATTTACTTGAGATTTACTACGAGATTGATTCCTTGAACAAGACACGCCTGCTGTACCACACAACACCATTGCATGCGACCAACGCGACTATCACGACATGTACTCACAGCGATCTTCGCCACCGCCACTGAAGCGCTCACATTCATCTGAGAGCCAAAACAGTTATGCCAGCGCTGCGACAACCGTGTCGCGCGCAAGCTCCAAGCTACTGTTTGGAGAGATCCCACTGACGCCTGCGACAACCGTAGATGGACGCTGTAAGTCGCTCCTTCGCAATGCGCGGAGCCTCTACTGATCTCATCAAGCAATTCGTTCCAATGGATCCATCTGCAACTTGGTCCTTTCAACAAGCTCCGTCTTCTTGCGCTTTTGGCTGAACGATACTTGCCGCGACAATGTACTGGACCACATGGAGCCCGAGGACCTCTCCAACTTTCGCCTTGTATGCCATGACTTCTCCTCCAAAGCTGCCCCACGGCTCTTTGAGAAGATGACTGTGACATTCAAGACCTCTACCTTCTCGAAACCTGCGCGTCTCGAAGCGCTATCAAGGATAGGCCGTCACGTCAAGACTTTCACCTTCCACATGCCACATGGTCCAGACACCTGCTTGCCGCCCATCATTGATCCTTGCACTGGCACAGAGAAACAATTCATCTACGAGCCGCAAGTTCAGATACCGCAACATGGTCCGGCCAAGGACAAGGCACCCAAGTATGGAAGCTGGGAGATGCAAGATCTACTCATCAAGCAGTATCCACCGCTTTTCCATGCCGCAACAAATGTTCCTGCATTTTGCGCTGCCTTCTCTGAACTGATCAACCTCACACATCTCAAGGTCTCGTGTCCAGGATCTACCGGCTCACTTCGACACCGACGGGGTGTAGTCGACTATGCGCTCATCTCTCTTCGCATCGCCGTCGAGCGCGCTCCACTGTACAGTCTCTCTGCCCTTTCCCTTCATCCAATCCACCCTGGCGGCCTCTTGTACCTTCACCCCATGCACGGCTTCGGCAGCACACCCTCCTCGGCCAAGCGCTGGTCTCAAATACGTCGCCTCTCAATCTGCATGGAAAGTATACCCTTCACCTCAAGCTCCTCACGTACACGCGCCCAATCCGTAGAACACCTACGCATCTTACATGCCTACCTCTCAACCCTCTCCCGTGGTCTAACCCGGCTCTTCTTCCGCTGGAAAGGCGAGCGCGGACCCTCTCCCTTATCCCTAGACCGGGAACCCTGCATGCTTCCTAGCCAAGAAGAAAGCACTCACCCCTCTCTCCGCGGCCAAACCCATGGTCCCCGTCCTCTCAAGTTCCCCCGCCTCCGTGTCATGGAACTGGAAAACGGGCTCATGGACTCGGCACAAATCAGTGACTTCATCACAAAGCACAAGCGCAGCCTGCGCGAATTCAACTTTGAAGATGTCAAATTACGCGAAGGGGATTGGGATCTCGCTCTCGAACCTCTGACCACCATCACCGGTAGCGAAAGCTGGAAACAGTATCAAGAAGAGGTCATGGATGTTCCCATCATGCTGTCGCCTGTTGATGCTGAACCTAGGGTCATGGGCCCATTACTCGAGGAAGTTGAACAGGCGATTGAGGAAGTGAGCGGCAAGGAGAGGAGGGAACATGCGCTGAGCAGGTGGTTGGGAAGACCAAGACAGTCGAAGAAAGATAGCTTTTGGGGTGGGGGAAAGCGCTTTTTGCATCTTTCGTCATGGAAGGGGAGTTCACCTGTCATGGTGAGGTAAGCTTCACGTTGCTATTCAAGTTTTTACGGGTGTACGATACCTTTGGTTTGGGTACTTGGGAGTTTTGCTGTGGGACGTCACGGTTGATACCCATCGGGAATGGTTTCTTGCGTTCACTCTCTTTGCCTCTTTTCTTGGCATTGTCCTGGAATTTGGGGGTTATGGCCTGTTCACTCTTTCCATTATTTTCTTATTTTGTCTTTCCTACGCTCACTACGACTTCTACGTCTTTACGGCCTTTACGACTATACCACTGAAATCATGCTTACGGGGTTTTTCACGATGATACGAGTAGCATAGCACAGCCTGACGATCTTTAAATGACAATCTCCTTCTGTTCCTTACCTCAACTCCAGCTATGCTATACTGCGTGCGTCTTCTGGCGAGCAACACGGTGCTTGTATGATTTTGAGACATCGTCGTCTTCGCTGCAAATTATGGACTGTGTTTATGGTCCAGTATGCTCAGAAGGCGTTTGCATGTTTCTCTATACGAGCAAGGCGTTGAGGATAGTACACTTCTCGATGCACGTGTAGTGAGGGAGAGTAGTTGCAAATGCATCAAATTCCAAGTACGGCAGAAGTCTCATGAATAACAGATGTTGCTCTAGTGCGGCTACAGTAGCAGCGTCGGACAGGAAGGACGATGCATGGCCAAAGGCGGATAAAGCTGATAAGGCAATCGAACTCAGTAATAGATATACAATTGCAATATTGTGGTATAAATGCGCTATGTGTTTCGATTGATATTTGAGTGCGGCTGTGCTCCATCTGAAGTGCAAGCTTATAGCTTAGCCTTCGTCTGCGCCTTCTTGAGAACCGGTTCCACTGGTTGGAAAATGTCAGTAAATCTTTCCGCTGTAGAAATGAGAACTAAACTTACATTTCGTCGCGCCCATGATGTTTCCTTTCACCTTGAGCTTCCCACTCATGAAGAGTTTCTGCGCATTCGCATTACCAGAGACTAGTTTTCCAAAGTCCTCATCGCTCAACACCAGCGTGGTGCCAGCCTTCTTGCCCTCGGGCGCAGTACCCTTGCCAACAGTGCCAGTCTCTTTCAGATCAATATACCATGACTCTTGTGTACCAGCTTTGTTCTTGAGTGTGAACGCAAAGATGGCCTTGCCGTTCTTGACGGCGTCTTTACGGTCGGCGTCGGAAGCGGAGAGGGCTCGCGAGATCTCGTCAAAGGCAGCGGAAGAGGGGAAGTCGTCTAACATGATTAGTTGAACAGATTCGAAATGTCGCGGAGCACACATGTGCGTACCGTTCTTGAGAGACATGGTGGCTATGTGTTGCTAGGACGGTGGTGCGGTTCGAGGCGATGCTTCAGACAAAGGTGTAGGTAGGTTCAGTTAAAGATGTTTGTTGGGCTCAGATCGCGAATGCCAAAGACTGTGGGGTATATAACGACGTTCGGAAGCTTGTGACAGCAATGATGATGCATGCAGCCTTGATGTGAATCCGGGGGAAGCATGTGATGGAGCGAGCGGGCCAAGACCCTGAATCGATTATGCCGAGGCACTTTGGGGCTGAGCACGTGGAAAGAATGTGACGCTAACTTTATCGACAGCCCTGCAGAACTCGCATCTCTTGCCTAAAATTACTACAAAGTTTAGCCATTCCTAACTGAGACGAGCAGTGACAGCATGTCATAAGGTAGTCGATGAGTATTCGCAGTGCCATACTTCGTGCGACAAATATACGCATCTGAACAGTTCAAGCGACTGGCCATGTGCCGTGGTGTATGTAACTGGCCTGAACGCTTCTGCATCATTGAAGTAAGACCGAGATGTCTCCGGCACACTTGATCAAGAGTTACCGTACGTTCTCTATAGACAGTGCTACATCGTTTCATCTTTACAGTCAGACGCCTTCTCCAGAGTACCTCCACTCCACAGCCCGATTCCATGTTTGCACTTTTCTGGTGACGTACCTAGACAATCCACGTGAGGACGCGCTACTACGCGTTTCGGCTTGGCGCGTTTCCCCTTTTGTCTCATCCTAGCAATCCACATGCTCAACTTCATTTCCAGAGCTCCGTTCTACCTACCTACGCTATGAAAAATGACCTTAGCAAGACGTTCGGCGAAATCTTCGATGGCGACATCTCTGCTTTCCGCAAGCAGTTGCTAGAGATCCAACACATCCAAGCTGATCGTCAGAAAGCTGAAGAATGGGTATCAAACCTCCGCTTCTTGGATATATCAAAGTGCCCAACTTAGAGGTGGAAAAGAAGAAGCAAGATCGACGCTTCGCTTTAGCCCAGATCCGCGATCCGTTGCACGATCGAGTGGTCCCTTCGCGCGAAATACCCGTCACGCAACCCGAAGACGATGACGGCAAAACTCCATATATTGCTGTCTCCTGGAAGTGGACCGAAATTAAACGCGAGGCTCTTTACGAAGACCCTAACTCGCCGGTTTTCGACTACCGGATCAAGAGACCAGGTGCGAAGTCTCATAAGAGTAGTTTTCCTGACTCCTACATGGATCGGGTGATTCGGTTCGTACAGAGCATCAACGTATCGAAGCTATGGATCGATAAAGAGTGTATATACCAAAGGCCCGGAGACGAGCGTATGTGGCCAGAAGACAAGCAGCATGGAGTTCAAATCATGGATGTAGTCTATGGTGACAGCAACTGCTCGGTGGGGTTACTTACCGTGGACCTTGCACACCAACAGGATATCGACCTTCTGTCAAAGCCGCTTCAGGGCCGCCTCTTCATTGATCCTAAGAATAAAGATTCCCCCAAACTAAGACCCGAAGTCAACATAAAGGCAGTACAGACGCTTATTCTTCGTATCCTCAGTGATCCTCGCTGGTCACGCGGCTGGATCTTCCAGGAAGACCATTTGGCTTCAGACAGGATGGTCTTGCTCATACCATACCCTAAACATGGCCGTGTAAACTACGACTACGAATTTGGGGACATCACTGGAGAGCTGCAGATCAATCTTAAGGATCTCCGACAGAACGTGACGTTGTTCTGCTTGGCTTGCCCTGAAGAACGACAGCGACAGCCCAATACTGATATTATAGGGAAGCTCAAGCAGTATAACATCTGGAACAGAATCTTCATATCGCCTAAAGACAAGTATCCGTTGCGCTCCCGAAGTGGTAGCAACGATAGTCGTACTGATGGCAGTGAGATCAAACGGCAAAATATCGAATTCAGGACTCCAGCTTTTTTGAATACTACCAACAGCGTACTGGACGACATTTGTACCCGGTCGTTGGAGAACGAGGAGGACAGGATTGCCATTCTCGCAAACGCTCTGAGGTTTACCAAGCGTATAAACATTTCCGAAGGGTCTACCATACATGAGCCAGGCAAATACAGCCTCTCGGTAGCTCTCCTTGCACTTATACTTATGAATGGGGAGATCTTGACGAGTAGACCATGGGAGCAATATGACTCAATGTATCTCCCCAGCGAGAGCAACTTGATGCGGTACACCTTACGGTCTTATCTAACGGCATGCCGACACCCTTTCATTGTCCCTAACATGAAACTTCAGCAGAGGTTTGTCGACCGCTGTCGTCTCAAATCTCCGAAAATCACATCTCGTGGTATTGAGACAAAAGGCTACCTTTTCGATTTATTTCCCCATGAGCAATTGGAGGGTCAAGCAAAACAGCATAGCACGCTTTGCTTAACTGAAGCAGACCGGGACGCTTTGTCGGACTTAGGTCAGGGTCCCGTGTTTCGGGGTAGAAAGCTCGATAAGAATGCACATATAGCGTTGGACCTTGTCATCCAGAGATTGGAGGAGCAGTGGCCAGGTAGTAAGCTTGCCAATTACATGCGCAGGCACTTAGTGCTCGATCAACATCCACCACGGCCGAAGGACGTGCGGCCATCTACACCATACGTATTAGATATGATGTTAGCACTCTACCAAGCTCTTCTCGAGAAACGAGAGCTCCGCTTTGCGCGACTAGTTTCAGCGCCACAAGATACAGAACCTGCTGCCATCTTCATCAAACCGGAGCCAAATGGTTGGAAGACTGAGCATGCACTTGACATAAATCCCGACGGAGAGCCTATGCTTGCGAAGGTTTTCACAAGCTGGGACAAGGGTCGTAATTTTTATGACAAGGAACGATTGGCAAGTTTGGAAGTCGGCGTGACATCCGACTTGGAACATCAAGGGGATGGGCAGGAGCGAGGTTGCTTCCTTTACAGCTACGGATGGGTGAATGGGGTTTGGTATGCGGAAGGTGATGCAATGGAGACATTTGTCTTTCCCCTCGCAGGAATCACTGAACAAAAACAGCCTACAGATCGTTCGTCGAGCAATGAGGAAAGGAAGAGGAAGAGAGGAATCGACACCTAAAATAGGACTACTTGTAAATGAAGGTTGAGGCAGGGTTATTAGCACCTGCAACACACGTCATGAACACGGCATGAATACGGCATTCTTGAGTCTGGGGTTGAAAGCAACTGATCGTCTTGTTGTGTCATACTGTATAGCAGCAACTAGCGCTTCTTTGTGATATAATAACATGGTGTCAACCTTGAGCTCAAACTAACATATGCCTCATACTAAAAGGTGCGTAGGTAGGTACACTTAACATCAAAGACAATGAAGTACCAACCATACATATTAGGGACAGACTGTCAGCATAGGTACATCAAGACCCGTGACCAGATACGTAGCTGGGTCAGGGGAAATATGGTTGCGTATACGCGTAGGCGCTCTTTTGCTGTGCTGTAAAGAGAAATGCGGACGCGTATCCGACACTAGCAATGGCGTCATGCCCGATTCCCGAGGTCTGCCCAAACGCCACGGTCAGGGGACGCGCTAAGCCTTTCTCCCCACCTCTTCAATTCCGCCAACCACCACATCCTTGTATGCATAGAGATGTGATAGCATCCTGCAAGATGTCAAGCTCTTGCGAGAGTTCTGATGGCCTGATATTTTGACGATTTTTCTATCCTCGCTCTTTCCCGCATCGCCATGCCAGCGCCTACAGCAACAAAACGACGTAAAGCGACTACTGACAAGCTGGCACCACGGAAACGCGCGCCTGTCGCCTGCCAATTTTGTCGACTTCGCAAGACGAGATGTGACGGTGTCAAGCCTGTTTGTGGCTTCTGTAGACATCACGAAGCACAATGCGTCTGGGGCGTAGCAACCGAAGAAATCGCGAGCACACCTGCTGAAAAGGAAATACTTCAACGCCTGGATGAGCTGAGAGACCTGTTGTCGGATGCAAAAGAAACTACTTCGCCTGTAGCCGAACCCCAATACAGTACCTCAATACTACAAACACGAGAACGACCAGCTACGCCCATCACTGCAGCTTCGCAAAACACCACACTAGATCCACTGGCGAATCTAGCTTCACCCTTCACTCACACGCGTTGCGAGAACGTCCTGGCGTGGCCTATCTTCCACAGCGTGGTTGACCCAAATGATGTCGCTGTCGAGTCATTTGTTTTAGAGTGTGACAACTCCGTGGTGCTTGAAGATGCCATGCCAATGTCACCCAAGACTTTCTCGAACGCTCCGGTCTCTGGCTTGAATCTTCAGACTGATCAATTTTTACCACTTTGCCATAAGTTTTTGGACCACGTACATCCTAGAAACCCGATGCTTGATGAGGAACAGCTTATCGAATACGCTAAGCATGTTACTAAGTACGGCCTGGACTGGGACGGCCCTTCGTGTCTGGTCGTATGTGGATTATCATGTGCCATGGTTTAACTCGGACTGACCAATTGTACAGCTAATTTCATGCGCCCTGGCTTGTTACACTGCGCCTTGGGAACGCGGCGATATTGGTTATCATCCATCTGCCGACTCAGTGACCGAAGATGCTGTATCTGCTCAAGCATATTACTTTGCCGCCAAGCAACGGATTGGTCTGCTCGGATGGTCTTTGGTGGACATTCACTGCCTTTTCTTCGCGTCGGTATACGAGAAGTATGCACTGAATCCTCTTCAAGCGTGGTTTTACATTCAACAAGCCTCAACACGCTTGCAGGCGCATTTAAAGCGTCAGACAAAGACTTCATGTTCTGATGATTGCACTGTGCGGTCAGATGGACTAATGCAGCGTGTTTTCTGGTCGGTTTACAAAGCCGAGCACGAATTGCTTCCTGAGCTGCCGTTCAGGTCCAGTGGCATTGAGGTTTTTACGCGAACCGACTCCATGTTTCCCTCACCTCCAGCCTTCGAAGAGGAAAGTAATGATGCCTCCGCGTTCAACGAGCAAGATTCTAGGTCTAAAGAAAGAAGCTGGGCATTTTACCTAGCCGAAATCTCCATTCGGCGCACAATCACCGACACTATATTTACCCTTTATCGTAGGGGCGAGAGGTACTGGCTAAATCATGTTGAGTCGCTAGTGCGCCAATGCGAAGATTCGGAAGAGCAGATCCAGCTGTGGCACTCGCACCTTCCGCTGTCAGTCCAATTTGATCCCGACGGGAACCCTGACAACGAGCTTGCATTCTTCCTGAAGGGCCGCTTCTCTTCATGGCGGAGTTACGTACTCCGACCCGTCTTATACTATGTCCTTCACCGCCCCTCTCAGCAGGCCTTGTCGCCTCAAATAACGATTTGCGCTCGTGGCCTCGTTGCCCTGTGCGCTGAAAGCATCATTCATTATGATCAACATCACCGTCATGGCGGAATTTGGTTCGTCTGCCGGCTTTCATTTACTTCAGCACTTTTGCTGCTAAGTGTCGTAATCAAAAGCGACATTGATGTTCTTCCACCCGCGGACTGGGGGTCACTGGTTGTCATGTCCATCTCAACTCAGCGGAAATGGGAAGCTCAGTCCGCCGATATTCGGAGATTACGAATGACTTTAGAGCGACTTTACACTATAGTTTGTCATCACACCAATACCCCGACATGCCAATCTTAGAACTGTGGCAGAAGTAAAGAGATTCTGTGGTAGATCGATGCCATTCTAGCCTTCTTTCAATCCTCTTAACCGGAGCTTGAGGGCCCTCAATGAACTTGACATTGCGCGCGGCACTTCCAAGTGATCAATCAATCATATCACGTGTAATTAAAACCCGGGTTGACTCAGTGCAACTTGCAAAAAACGGGCTTCTTCGTGTTTAGTTCTAGCTGTCTAGCAGTACTTAACGTACCCAAATTCGTGGCCATAATCGAACATGCCAGTTTCGGCATAGTATGTTTCCCAATGCGCGACCATCTCCTCGAGCTTTTGCGGTTCTTTTTCCGCCAAGTCGTGTATCTCTGCTGGATCCTCCTCAAGATTATACAACTCCCACTGCTCTCGGCCACGAGGCGCCGTCATCCATAGCTAAAGATAGTCAGTACACCTATGTGAGCGAATTCGTTGGTACTCACAGCTTTCCAATTCCCCTTTCGAATTGCCCGAAGACCGAACAGCTCCCAACCAGTAATTTGCTCGGTCTCGTCATGGAAACCAGGTTGGTCACCCTCTAAGTGCGGCACCCATGTAGTACCCCTTACTGGGACTACTTCTCGACCCCTAAAATTGCTACCTGGTGGTTTGACCCCAGCCAGATCCAGCACAGTTGGCAGGATATCCATAACTGTACAAAAGGAGTCTGTAAACGAGCCAGCAGGCAAAGACTTATCACCATCGTGCGATGGAGGGTAACGTATCAGACATGGACATCGTATACCACCCTCCGTTATCCAAGTTTTGAATCCTCTTGAAGGCGCCATTGATGCTGATGCCCACTCGGAGCCGTACCAAATGAAGCTGTTACTAGCACCCATATTCTCTAGACTGTTATCGTAGTACTTGTCGATGATTTTGTTAACGGTGCCAACGGTGCCCATCAACGGAAGGGCCTCGAGCATTGCACCTTCGGCACCATTATCAGACATGAACAGTATGAAAGTGTGGTCTAGTTCGCCGTTCCTCTCAAGGTGTTCAACTACCCGACCAATATTCTCGTCGATCGATTCAACCATAGCAGCGTACACCTCCATCTTCCGCGCGGATTCTGTGCGTTCTTCTGCGCTCATATTGTCCCAGTCGTGCCTAGGCATAGGTGCAGCATTCACATCGGGCTTGACAATACCTAAGTCGACCAACCTCTGAAGCCGCTTAGTGCGGAGCGCATCCGGGCCGTCAGCGTACCTTCCCTTGTACTTTTCGATGAGATTGCGCGGTGCTTGTAAGGGCCAATGCGGCGCAGTGAAAGGCAGATAAGCAAAGAAGGGTTTTTCTTCGCCTTCTCGGTCGTTGAGATAGTTTATCAGTTCGTCGGTGAATGAAGTCGTTGAATAGAAGTCTGCTGGAACGTCGCTCGAGTCGGCTCGGTTGATGTGCTTGTCGTCACGCATCCAAAATTTGTCTGCATACATTGGAGTGAAGATAGCATCCTTGGGATTATCCAGTTGTGGTTCCCAGTTGTAATGGTTGCCGCAACCGGAAAGGAACACGAACGAATCGTCAAAGCCGCGCGCACAGGGAGACGTCTCCTTGGTAAGGCCGAGATGCCTGCATAGTGAGCCAACGTCATCGCCTGGCGCATTTGTCAGACCTACCACTTCCCGCTCATGATTGTTCGGTATCCGGCGTCTTGTAGAATCTCACTCAATGCAGCAACACGGAAGTTGAGATAGCCTTCGTAGCCAGGTTTTCCTTCGTAGTTCTGCTTGACCGCCATGTGTTCCACTAATTGCCCAAGGCCTGCAATATGATTATCGGTGCCTGACAGCAGCATTGACCTTGTCGGGGAGCATGCTGATGCAGTGTGGAAGTTCGTCAAGCGAACTCCTGTTTCCGCGATCTTTTGGAGGTTGGGCGTATTGATCTCACCACCAAAGGGCGAAATATCGCTGTATCCTAGGATATGTCAGTATAACGTGCATAGAGTCGTTAGAATTACACAGACCTAGATCATCTGCGACGATAACGAGGAAATTTGGGCGCTTCTGTGCTGGCATGGAACCCATGGTTGATGCGGTGTAGAGTACCTGAGTAGTGGTGAAACGTGCTCTGGATGAGCGACCACAAGATTAAGAGATATCAAGAACATGCTCTATCAATATCCGAAGATTGCACCTAGATTCCATCATGAACTTGATGCGCGTGAACGTAGCCCCGACATTGTAAGCTCTAGCCTGTTGAGGTACCGAGCTGCACATCTCCGTTCTTCCCCGTCGACGACCCTCGGATCCGCTAGCGCGTTTCTCATCCCCGTCCATCCCCGTCACCCTCTCATAGCTACTGACTCGTGTTGATGGGACCACAGATTTGGGCTTTCCGTTCGCGTCGAATTCTTTCCCCAGATCGTACCGTGAGACCTGGGGTAACAGCGGGTGGCCCGATGATGCCATCCCAGTCCACTCTGTCGCCAACGCCTGCCGCCGAGGAACGACACACGCGATATCCCTTGAGCGTTCGCAAACACTATATAAGTAGCGTTGCGCAGAACAGCGATATGAACTCAGCAGGTTCGAACGCTAATTGACTGTTGCCGACTACACCCAAATCCGACGTTTACTATCTTGTTAATATGCAGGTCACCGATGGCAAAGACGGCGTCTTCACGAAGATGTCACGATGTTTCAATGGTCGACTCACATACTCTGTTGGAATCATCGCTCTTAGCCAAATCAATTTTGGTCTTGATCAAGGCGTGTTTAATAATACACAGGCAATGACACCATTTGCTCGTAGGTTTGGGGTATTCAATGCAAAAATTCAAACGTATGTTCCCCAAGCAATTTCCCGACCTTGCACTAAGGAAAGAAAAGCTATGAGCTCGAAACATATTATCTATCCCTCTTGAGCAGTCTCACTTATATCGGCTTCACATTTGGTCTTGTCACGGGCAATATCCTCAGCGCGAAGATCGGACGGAAGAAGTGCTTCATGGTGATGTGCTTCTGGGCCATCCTAGGCGCGATCATCTGCATAACTACGACAACAAACAAATGGCAGATGGTAGTCGGACGTATCGTATCATACGTATACATCGGTATGGAACTGGCTCTTGTGCCTGTAACGCAGTCCGAGTTAGTCCCAGCACCAGTACGAGGCGCCACCGTCGGTACATATCAGTCTGCACTACTTATCGGTCAGCTCATTGCGTCACTGATATGCCGAGGTACCGGCAATATCGACGACGATAGATCCTGGCGCATACCTCTTGGCATACTATTCATCATCCCGACCATCATGTTGTGCGCCGTGTGGTACATACCTGAAAGTCCGCGCTGGCAGCTCCAAAAGGATCGGCCTGAAGAAGCTATAGCAAACTTGCGCCTATTGCGCCAGGGCAAGTTCACCGAGGAAGAAATTCAACAGGAATATCGCGAATTCCAGGGCACATTAAATGCGACGGCCAAGAGGGGAAGATTCATTGAGCTGTTCCAGGGAAGTATGTACCGCCAAGAACGATTACGATGTCTACTCAGCGTCGCTTTTCGCGGGTATCTCGTGTTTTGAACCAGACTGACAGGACTTGCAGCTAATCTAAAGCGCACACTCATCGTCTTAGGGGTGAACATATTCCTGCAGCTGACTGGGCAGAACTTCGTTTCAGTCTACGGCGCCATCTTTATCAAGAGCTTAGGTGTCATCAATCCTTTCACCATGACCTCCATCAATACTGCTGTGAGCATCGTATTCGTCTTTATATGTCAGCTCGCAACAGACAAGACTGGTCGAGTGTAAGTTGTGGTCCATCTCCTCCGCTACCTTTATCTACTAATACGATACCGTTAGACCACTGATGTTTGTTGGTGCAATCATCCAATGTGGTGGCCTCATGACGATGGGCGGTCTCGGAACGGTCGCCAGTCCTTCCTACTCAATCAAAGCTACTATCGTAAGCATGGTGACCGTCTTTGGGGTTGGCTTCCAACTCGGCTGGGCTCCTCTTTCGCATGTCGTGGCCGCGGAGATTCCAACTCAGCGTCTCCGCGATACAACTTATGCACTTGGCTCCGTCTTCAACATTGCAATTCAATTCGCTGTTTCTTTTTCCATACCTTACCTACTCAACGAGCCGTATGCAGCGCTAGGAAGCAAGGTTGGATTCATATTTGGCGCGACCGCAGCGGGTGCTGTGCTGTTCACGTGGTTCTGCATTCCTGAATGCAGTGGGAAAACGCTTGAGGAGATCGATGAGTTGTTTCTTGAGGGCGTATCAGTCAGGAAGTTCCGGAAAACCAGAGCGACTGTACCGACAGCCCAGTATAAGGGTGATGGAAAGAAGGGTGACATGAAGATCGAATCAGTTGAGGTGTAGAGCCTAAAGGCACGAGTCGCAAAGCTTGATGTAACCTCGTCTTATTTATCGAACAAGAGCCCTGGATGTTTCGCTGTCTGTTGAGCCGTCGCCTAGGCATATCCCTGTGTGCGCGATACTTCTCTTGAATTATATTTTTGAGTCAACGCCAACCATCTAGTCACAGTTTATCGATGCCAGAACTCTCCCGCCTCTCAAATCACTGAAACCCCAGCTGACTTCAGATTCTGGGCTGCTTCAGTCATACTACAGGGTACAAAAACATACCGGTGACGTACCACAGATGCCGCCCTTGCATCTCTGATCTGTAACCCAACGGAGATCTCTAGAAAGCTCAAGTCTTGACACAAAACCTGCGGCGGAAGGTTACCGGTCAAACAACGATCAAACTAAAACAGCTTGAAACAGAAGCAGTGACCTAAACAGATAATGAGAGAACTAGCGATTTACGACTACAGTTAGATTCCTTCGTGACTACTGGAATTGACCATCGGAGCTTGGTAGAATAGCTCCAGCATGACGCGATCACTAATGCCGTTAATCTGAGCTTCTATGAAGATTAATGAAAGCGTTCGTGCGGTTGGTTTAAAGTTGGTGGGTATTTTGAAAATAATTGACAAGGGGTTTGCTGCTAGGACGATGGCTGTGAAATATGTAACGCGAATCAAGTTGGGCGAAAGAGATATGGAGCCGCTTGGCTGTCTAGATATGGGCAAGAAATTGGTGCATAAACAAGAGTTGTTCCTCATTATGAGTGTGTCTATGTCTATAACGTATCCAAATCGTAAGATTTGGTATCCATGGCGCTTACTAACCCATTTCTTGCGCTTGCGCGGTCTAGTCTATATTATAACTTGATCTATGCCCATCCGATTCTGTAAAGATTATATCCGCTCTCGTCACCTCGTCCAATACCCCTCCTCTTTTCTACGAACTCTGTCTCTAGTATCTTGAACGTTAAGCCATCATCTTTCTTTGGACACAACTCAGGGATGAATGCAGCTTCAACAGTATCGGGAATGCCTTCAAACTTCCCAGTCTTACGTACGGTGACCATTAGCCAGAAAGCCCCATTTTCGGCAAGTAGGTGGGCTGCACAGTCACGGAGCCAGGTGGCGTGCTCGGGAGCGTAGACAACATCCGATGCGATGAGGAGGTTGGATACCGATTCCATGTGTACAGGAGGTTGTGCCCAGTCTAATATGGCAGTGTCCACAGGGGGTGTGTCATATGAATTCGAAGGAAAGTTGGTCTCGATGTTAGCGTTGCAGTTCTCCAGAACAGCGGGGTGATAGTCAGTCGCCGTGATGCTCACAGGGGCAGCACCAATAGCAGGGAGTAATTTTGCGACCGCTAAGCTTACGAGCCCTGTGCCAGCACCAAGCTCAACAATCCTTTGTCCGTCTGTAGCACTCCCTTGGGTCAATCCGAAGCGATCTGGGTCTGCACACATCATGCTACTGAGTACGATGCTGGCACCCCAGGATTGAAGCCCGACGGCTGTGTGGTCCGTACTAGATAGTGGCGCATCGTTCAGTGTAACCTGGACGGACTCTCCCGTGGATGTAAGGAAAGAAAAGTCTCGTGTTAGCGCCTCTTCCTTCTCCTCAGTGGATTCAAACAGGCTTGAAAGAACGAAGCCTGCATCATCTACGAGTCTTTCCCGCACCTCATCGTGGATGTCCATCTCTTCCGAGCGCGCCAGGAGGGAGTTCAGCCATTGGATGACAAAAGTACGTTCGAACGGGTCAGCGCGGAGGGCTGCTGTCACCTCTTCGGGCGTGGCGTCGTTATCGTCATCTTCGCCTTCGTCTTGAGACGCATAACCAGAATCAACAGGTTCTGGGGGTGACGCAATGGAAGTGCGCTCTCGTTTCGACGCTGGATGCGTGATGGCAATTGGAAGGCGTACGGGACAGTACAAAGCCTGCAAATTCCTGAGTGCGGCGAAAACCCGACCTTCGGATGCCGACAGTAGCGAACGAATAGGTGGTAAACTGCTTGATGGAGGCAGACAATTGCCTGCAAAGCTGACACTCATTTGGGGTTTCGCTAACGAACGAACAGACCAAGGAACGCACACAGGGGAAAGGAACGTGGAGAGAAGAAAGGAAAGAATTGGAGAAGACGTGGAGACAGGGTTCTCCCATAAAGAAGCGAACGCGAGGGACAATTTGACGATACTTAGTTTAGCCTCACGCTCGGGCAAAGTCGTGACATCTAGAACTTTTCACCGCCTATCGTTTGGCAGCGTGGGCACATTTGTGGGAGTGAATGCAGGTGTAAATGCTGAGCTTACATTCTGCTCTTTCTTGAGGCTTCGATCAGAACGTCAGCTACATGCAAGATATATAGGTCATGAATCCAGTACGAAGAACTGCGCCTGTGTACATATGCCCTGGGTTCGTGAATTTTGCGTGGGATGGCGATTGCCACATGGGTCGCTAAGCCGAGCCTCATCGGCGCTACTCGAGAAAGGGCTTAGTGTCAATTTCTGCAGGTTCCATCTTCCACGATCCCATCTTCGGTCAACCCCGGCAAGCTGGAGTCGCGCCAGCAAAAATAACCTTGAAACATCTTGGTATACCCTATCTGGAATTTCCTCAGCGACACGTTGATTGTAGCACTAGTGGCTTGGGATCGCTTTGCGCGATATGGTGCCGAAGCTGCTCAGCCCACTATGCCTAGCACGATCGCTCGCGACCATGTTTTTTACTTGTTTGGTAAAGCATGGAAGCTGCTCGTGCAATCGTCGCCGACTACTTCCATCTACCACGCCTTAGTCGTCGCGCTAGCTAAATCCCGATAGGCACTTGTTCTCTCAAGTCGCGATCTCAGGTAGCCGTATGCTCAAAACATATGACTAGGTAATTGTGACTATACTCAGCATACGTTCTAGCAGAAAGATCTCTAGGATTGCCAGATCATCGTTGCGATTGGTCTCTCGCTACAGTCGTCTCGCCCCGAGACACAAAGACATACTCTTCATAGTGGAAATGAAATCATGATTCATATACACGATTACTGCACCAGTTCATTGGAATGATAAAATTCTTGAAGCTCCTAACCCCGGAAAGGTTCATCGTGCATTCCGTTGTCTACTATGTCAAGACATGAGTGAATGACGCTTCCAGTGAACATAGGCTACCTAGGTACACTTTCCTCGTACTCAAATCGCAAAGCAGAATTCACTTCGGGGCTACGGAACCCAGTTCATAGAACGTCGCTCCTGTTCTGCGCCCATACGTATCTGTACCGACTCGAGCATGTTGTTTGGAATCAGATCGTAATTACTCCTTGCTTCTACTTGTTCGTGCTTCATGTTACTGTCGCTTGTATGTATCATCTAGTCCATGATTGGCAACATGGCTTACAAGGCTATGCTGATGGATGGTCGAACATACGAGCCGATTTTACAAAGGTCAGGAGGAACTGGTGTAGTTGGGGAAGACAACGATAAGTCGTTTCGTCTTAGCGCTCATTACCTTAGAAAGAGGGGTACGGCTCACTTCTAACCTGTCTGGTCCTCGAAGGGCAGTAATCGGCTTTGGTGAGAACTACTCGGAGACAAACACTTCTTTATTAACGATGGGCAAACTACTGATGATAAGACGACGCGTAACAGGAACTGACTCCAGAAGTGGGGTGTGGGCTAGGGATGGGCAAAGCAGGAAGGAGCTTTCGGGTACCCGATGTCCGGACCTAATCCGCCCCACCAACGAAATCTTATCAGATCCATCTAATAATCAACATATAGCGGCCAGCAAATACACAATTTGATCAGAGGCCCGCGACCTTCTTGTTTAATGTGTTTGCCGTCACCATGGCTACAGTAAAGAATCTGCGCATAGGCGTTGACGTTGGCGGGCAAGTACTACGAAAATGAGCTACAGGTGTCAAAAGACTAACACTACGCACAGGACGAACACTGATGGAGTCATCATCGATCCTACAAAGTCCAGTGAAGATGGAAGAGGGATTGTTGCTTGGTACGAACGCGATTCTTGCACGTTCATCGACACGTGTCCTTGTTTATCCCCTTCATCACGAACTTCAACGAACACATACCGCAAGATTCATCCAAACGGAATACAATTTTGTTGAAGATGAGAGCTCATATCAGGATTTAGGCACAAGGCTCCTACCACTACCAACCCAAGCCATGGCATTGCCGACGCCATCACCACCATGTTCAGATCTGCATCTGTAGACCCATCCTCAGTTGCGAGCGTGACGATAGGAACCACCCATTTCGTCAACGCTGTAGTGACTCGTGATCGGACACGCCTCTCACAAGTCGCTGTACTCCGTCTTTCCGGACCTTTCAGCAAACACGCACCACCATGCGTCGACTGGCCAGCTTCTCTGCGGAACATTATCCTCGGGCATTACGCTCTCATCAAAGGAGGCTTAGAAGTGGATGGCAGTTTGATCTCCGACATCAGAGAACAGGAGATTGTGGAGCAATGCAACATTGTCAAAGAGAAAGGAATCAAAAGCATAGTAGTGAATGGTGTCTTCAGTCCGATCGATACAGTCGAGAAGCAAGAAGAGCGTGCCGCCGAAATTATCAGGCGCGAACTAGGAGAAAATGTCGATATCGTCCTTAGCAAGACAGTCGCTAACCTTGGATTTTTGGAGCGCGAAAATGCCGCGATATTGAACGCCTCGATTTTGTCCTTTGCTAGAAAGACGATAGCGTCATTTCAGACACCAATCAAGGAACTCGGACTGAGCTGCCCCGTCTTCATCACTCAGAACGATGGTACGATACTAAGTGGCGAAGCAGCAAGCCGGCTGCCTATCCGAACTTTCTCATCTGGTCCAACGAACAGCATGCGTGGCGCTGCTTTCCTTGTTGGGAGGCAGGAGAACGGCGGAGCAGTGATGGTCGTCGACGTCGGTGGAACGACCACTGATGTGGGCTTATTGCTTGCGAACGGCTTTCCCAGGCAGCAAGCCGCATACTCGGAACTGTCTGGAGTCAGAATGAATTTCTCGTACCCCGATGTGAAAAGCATAGGACTGGGAGGTGGTAGCTTGGTGAGAAAAGTTGGAGAGAGATTGCAAGTAGGACCAGAGTCAGTGGGGTACCAGCTACCAGAAAAGGCGCTCGTCTTCGGTGGAAATGTTCCTACAGCAACTGACTACGTTGTAGCGTCTTCACCTGATGTCACAATAGGCCAACCGGAAAACGTGCAAGGAAAGCTGCAGGCAGACAACGTACAAGCATTTCAAGCTGAGACAAAGATCATGCTTGAAAACATCATTGACAAGATGAAGACATCGCCTGATGATCTCCCGGTTCTGCTCGTCGGTGGTGGTGCGGTGATAGCTCCAGATGAACTGAAGGGAGCGAGTAAAGTGATAAAACCTCAATGGTCGGGTGTAGCCAACGCTATCGGTGCTGCTATGGCGCGTGTCAGTACTGTCATCGATACTGTCAAGTCAACAGAGAAGCAGACTCAGAAAGAGCTACTAGCTGAGATATGTGAGGAAGCTAAACAGAAGACTATCGAAGCAGGCGCCTCGGCGGCAACGGTCGCCATTGTTGAGGTGGAAGATCTTCCGTTGCAATATGTCGCCAACAAAACACGTTTTATGGTCAGAGCTGCAGGAGACTTCGACTTCTCAAGGGCAGGGGATTTCGCAGACCTGAATATCACTAAGGAAGAAGATGGCATAGAGACCAGGTCGAGCGCAAGCGATGCCATCGCGGCGCCTTCGAGCGAAGATGCAGCTGACCAGGTCGACGTAACACCGGAAGTTGACATCATGGGGTATAAGCCAAAAGTGGCTAACCGAGAGTGGTGGATATCAGAGACTGATCTCGACTGGATCACCATCGGTTGCTACATCCTAGGTACCGGCGGTGGAGGTTCTCCATATTCCACTATGCTCCGAGTACGTGGTATCCTTCGATCTGGTGGAAGCGTTCGCGTCGTAAGTCCAGATGACCTCAAAGACGATGCGCGAGTAGGAAGCGGCGGCGGCGCTGGCAGCCCAACAGTCGGAATCGAGAAGCTGTCTGCCGACGAGTAAGTTTCGTATCGATATGATACTCTGCATTTATTGATGCTTGTGCAGAATGATGGACGCTCAAACCCACCTCTACGATCTCATCAAGGGTGGTTACGCGACACATATCATACCTTTAGAGATTGGCGGCTCGAACGGGTTACAGGGTCTCGTCTTGGGTGCATCGACTAACATGAACATACCATGTGTAGATGGCGATTGGATGGGCCGAGCATATCCTACAAAATGGCAGACAACGCCAGTTGTGTTCGGTGAGCGAGAAATCGTGTTTGCACCAGTCGCAGTGGCTGATGGAAACGGCAACACGCTATATATGCCCACTGCAACGAGCGATCTGAAGGTCGAACAAGTCATTAGAGCAGCATTGAGCCAGATGGGAAGCTCTGTCGGAACAGCCGATGCCCCCGTTACAGGCTCTGAAACACGAAGATGGGCTGTCGAACACACTATCTCGCTGTCGTGGAGGATAGGAAGAGAGGTAGCCCGTGCGCGCAAGGAGAACAGAATTGACAGTGTGGCGCAATCAATCATCGACGCGGTTGGAGGCGCCGAAACAGGCCGCGCGCTTTTCAAAGGCAAGATTGTCGGTGTAGAGCGTAAGCTGTACATGGGCCACGTGTACGGCGAGGTGATCATAGAAGGCACTGGAAGCGAGTATCAAGGCAAGATCAAAATACCCTTCAAGAACGAGAACATTGCCGCGATAAGGATACCGGATAGTAAAGAGAGTAAGACTGGTGAGGAGAAGAACGAAGATGTACTCGCTATCGTTCCTGACCTCATTGCGGTCATTGATGCGCAAAATGGCGAAGCCATTGGGACGCCAGAGTATCGATACGGACTGCTAGTCTCAGTGATCGGTATCACTGCGAGTGATCGCTGGACTAGTCCAAAGGGTATCGAAATTGGTGGGCCGAAGGCTTTTGGGTTGGACCATCTAGAGTACAAACCCCTGGGCAAGTTTGTAAAGCCTGTAAGCGTTATTGATGAGTATGACGGAAAGCAATAAGTGTTAGGTACGGAGGTTGGCAGAATGGTCTTTAATGAAGAGGCCAGTGTCTTAGGTCGTTCTTTGCATCTATGATACTTCGGCTTGCTTCGTGCCGGGATACAATGGTAAAATGAGCTTGACAGCAGCCTCGTAGCTCGTAAATAGTATACCGCCACTAAACACCGTGCGCCCTAGTCTCATCGTTGTGCCTTTCCAGAATCCTTTGATACCATAATCCAACAACACACTCTTCACAGCCTCAGCAGTGCTTGTACCTCTTGCGCTCTGCGATCGTGTCTTAATGACATCGAAAGGCTGTGTGGAGAGCGTTGTCACAACGCCTGCTACTGATCCGTTTGCGAAATTGACTGCGGTGTTCTGTTCGATGTTCTTGGTCTTTTCAAAGTCTTTGAGAATATTGTACGTTCCCATCCGGAATGCTGTTGCTGATGCCTGTTTGAGGGTAGTCCCTGCAAAGCCACGGTATAGACCGAGTATACCGTGCTCTTTCCAGATTGTTGCTGTCGCATGAAAACCGGAGCGAAAACGCTTTTCATTTCTGGCGTCATCAATAAGTGCCGTTTTGATGCGTTCTGTAGGTGTGACCGCAGTGATCGATGCGACTACCCCAGCAGTCATGCCAGCCAACAGATTGCGAAGTGGCGAAAGTGTGCCAGTCTCTGGATCTGCGAAGGATAACTTGATCTGATCGAAGAAGAGAAAGCGAACAGCATCTTTGCCTACTGAACCGAAGACCAGCGCTCCGCAGCCTTTGTAAAGCGCTTTGATTCCCTCATTTTGATAAACTTGGGTCACGACGAGGAAAGGGTTTCGTGGTGTCGGTACGCCTTTCTCAGCTCTCAACTGTACACGCGTTTTCGCAAACTCGAGAGGATACTGCAAGTGGAATAAGCTACTAGACCGAGACCGGAATGCCTCTTTGGGCGTACCGAAAGAAAGCCTTCCACACCGCCAGCAATGCCGCCAGCTGCCAAAGAGACTATTGCGGGTGTGCTTTTGTCCTTGTAGTCGTCAATGATGCGCTTGGAGAGTTGTGGGCGAGCTTACATTGGCGCCTGAAACCATTTGTGTCTAGGGAAATCAGGATAAAGATGATGTTGTGATGGAAAGTGATGCGGTCGACGGGAAATATCATAGATGCCTAGGTTAGTAGCCAGCCGATAGCCGAACCAGCGGCTCCGTTCCCGACAGCCTCAGCAACACCGATGCGAAAGCGACACGTCAAAACGGGGGATTACGGCCACGAAACCATGATCGCGAGGTTGAATCCGGGTCCATACACACCCATTGAGTGTCTCAAGACCTCGGAGACGGGGCTGAACAATTCATTTATTGTACCATGTATGATGACATCAGATCGTCGGGCAATCCATGAATGGCTTAAGTAAAGATAACTGGATTACGCCTTGAAAGATAAGGACAAATTTGCGAAACTATTTGGAGTTGATCGTCGCATTAGGTCAATCATGTCCCGCGCAACTTGACCTGACTATCTTTGTTCGCTCGTTATTCATGCTACCAAGACTGAGCGCCGTTCGCCCGCAAATATATCGAGGACTTCGTCAACATAACGCGCGGCTTTGAACTCGCACTCGATTGATCGTAAGACTGAATAGCCTGCTGTGACTAGGCGGTAGCATCGTCTAACTCGAACAAACTATCGAATCGATTGTCCCTTGCCGCAGCATAGGCAACCATCTTCTCATCGCTACTATTGTCATCGCTCTCGTCTTGCGCATTGTTACTTAGCTTGCCCAGTTTCTTGAGAGCTTCGTCCACGTTCCAAGCAATTCTCTCAGCGCCTACTCTTGCTCCGACTAGGTTCGGTGCTCCGGGCCCCAGTTTCAATCCGGCGAGTCGTCCTGTCACAAACAGAGGAACATTGTCGTCCCACATCAAGTCTTCGTTCAGACATGGTAAACCGCCAATGTACTTGATTGGATATTGTTGCTGGATGCTCTGAAGGTAAGGAATAGTACGGATGTCAGACTGGATACCGGTTGCAAAGACCATATAGTCTACAGGCGGGAGCTTGAGGATTGATTCTGCCGAAGACACCTCACAGGCCCATGTTTTGGATGATTGCTCCCATTCCGCGGAATGGAGTTTGGTATAGTTATGTAGCTCGATCTTTCGACACGCGACATGCGAATCGAGAATTTTCCGGTAGCGTGGTGTCATACTACCTCCGTTGCGGGCTTGTACAATCATATCAAAGCGCTCTACAAGCCATCGTTAGTCAAGATTAACCAAGCACGAACGTTGACTGACCTTCATCTGTGTCTGCCGTCCAGAACTCAGCTTGCTTGAAGTTCCGAAACTTGCCGACCCACTCTAAATCTACGTCGAAATGTTTGACCTTAAGTGGTCCACGCATGAGCATCCACACTTTGTTGACGCCCCGCTTAATCGCCAAATCTGCGAGTTGGATGCTCGTCAAGCCGCCACCAACGATGAGCATACTCGTCAGCTGGCGAGCCTGAATTTTAGCCATCACATGAGATGGTGGAAATTGCTTAATCTGCATCGCGTGAGCAAAGCCTTCGTGTGGACGTTGAGTAGGTAGACCAGGAACGAGGGGTATCGATGGCGCATTCCCAGGACCAACAGCCAGCACAACTAGATGTGCAAAGCGTACGCCTTGGTCTGTTTCGACCCGAAATATTTTTCTCTCATCCGCCACTGCACCATCCGAGATGAAACTTCTGAGCTCTGTCTCGTCAAACTTCGAAACCTTGTCATATTGGATGTCCATGACGCTCTCTTTCCTCAATAGATCCTTGCCAAGTCGATATCTCTTGATAACCTCTTCACAATGCGCATCAAATAGATCGGTACGTGGCACATAGTAATCTTTTCGATCCCTTTCATCCACATCGGGTGTGCGACCCAAAAATCGCCCTTGCGTCTTCAAGTTCTTCTTCTTTTTATGCTTGCTGACTTCCTTTCCGGCAACGCCAGGCAAAGCTTGAATGTCCTTCTCCCTCTCCTTTTCATAGGTGTACCCGAGCAGTGCATCACGATCAGCGGGATCAACGTGGAAGAACATCGGACTTCGAAGGTAATCAATGTGAAAGGTTTTGAAGAGGCGTTTCCATTTGGACATCCAGTCTGCGCCATCTGCATCGAGAACCACCATGTCTATGAATTCCTCGGTTGGTACATCATGATCGCAGCCACATTCTGAGCTACCGGGGGTGGAGGGTGGCGTTGGTAATGAGTCCTTGTTCGTTCGGTAGTTTTTGATGTTCATTTTTCGGCCATGTTTCCGGATCCAGTGGTACCGTTGGTGCTCATCGTCTGTGAAGGTTGCCGATGGTGTGTGTTCACGGAGTCGTGCTGCTACTGCTAGGCCTGCTGGCCCGCCACCAATGATAAGGACGTCGTGAATGTGCATTGTGTTGCAATCTTAGAATACTGACTTGAAACCCTGATGAAATGTGTAGATTAAGACACCTTGAAGTACTTCGAATGTCTTGCCCATGTGAGTACCTGATGGCTAGCGTTCCAAGTTGGGCGCATCCATCATGGTGCTAAAGGTACCCGATGACGAGGACACGACTTCACTCAGACGACGGGTCGATGTCAGTGTCAGATCCCTTCGAGTGCATTTTCAATAATGCCTTGCTCGGGGACGAGTAGTCAGTCGGATGTGTGGGCGCAAGTGGAGCTCATCCTTGTTCATGGGTATTTGTCTATTTTTCTTCAAACAGCATGATATGGCTCGTGATCCTTAGGGCCCTCAGTCGTTGCAGACGTCCGCCAACTCGCAGGAGTACTCAAGCTCGACACCCGCTGTGATCTCGCGTCTTCCATCTCGATCGCACTGGTGATAAATTGTGGATCGTTGTCTTCTCTCTGTTTCCCCAGACCGCCATTCATGTCTTCTTGACTTTCTGTACGTCGGAAGATATCCCGAAAGCCTCTAGGTATTTGTTGTTGTCTGGGTTCTGGCCAATAAGCGTGGGTATGCGAGGACTGTTGCGCTCGTGTGACAGAGCTAGGCCCGTATGGACTATCCGCACTATACGTGTGCGAGTTCCAGTTTCTTAGGCCAAAGACGCGTTGAATGAGTGGATAAGTGAGGGGCAAGTTGGCGCAGAGTATAGCTGTATATGACTCCCGGAGATACCAGATCGTCCACTCAGTCCCGAATGGGTTCGTAAATGAGTAGTACTTATTGAGAACTGCAGCAACAATAGTGAATGCCCCTATGCAGAAGATCACAAACAGTATAGTCTTATTCTTCTTAGGTAGACGAACTTTGAAGAGCAGCGGCATGGGTATGCTTAGGATGATCAAATCGCTGGAAATGTTGAAGACTGCGTTGGTGATGAGATGGTTGGTTGCTGCCGAACATTGTTCTGTTATCGTAAGTATTGTGTGAACACAGGCAGCAAAGTCACTCACTCGAATTGGGAGGTACTGCCCAATATTGGTTGAACGGCCTGCACCAAACCCCAAGATATAGTACTTCCATGACCACGAATGCGACAGCGACGTAGATAGAGGTAGCGACGACGATTTTGTGTTGCGGCAGAACGAGCGTCATTCGGTTGTACATTATGAGCAAGCAGGCCTTGACCAACCATATCGTAAGGAGTTGCATCTGCTCTACTACCAAGACGAGCTTGGACCCGTATACACGCATCTTGATCTCAGCCTTGGAGTATTGAGAGACATCGTCTCCAGGCGGTATCAAGTTGCCTACAGTTTGACATAAGAAATCAGCAGATGTCGCACTTGTAGATCATACATGGAAATTACGTACTACTAGTCTTTGCAATTTGATGCATGATAGCGATAAGCACTGTGTCTGTAGCCTTAGGTATCGATCAGCACCTACAGTCGTTCAACGTTGTGAATCACAAACCATAGCTACAAGAATTAGGTAATCATCCAATTGTAATGACTTCCATGATCCACGGTGTATTCTTCGCGAAATAAGTCGAATAATGACAACGACCCAGCAAACGCCATAGAAGATTCCAGCTTCGGGGTCGAGCACTCCCGACATGGGTATTTGGTTGGCTCGAGAGCCGAGGGAGTTGTGAAGTTCAGGAGTTGGGCCAGCAAATGGCGACTAGTCCGGGATTAGGTTGCTCAGGGCTTTGGTGGCTGTTAATTAAACGTAGTTGAAAGTATCGTGTATAGGTTTTGAGGAGCGATAGGGACCACGAGGGGTTGGAAAACAAAATAGATCGTCGAGAAAAAATGCCGAGCGCCCGGTCAGCAGCCGTGTTGTGAACCACGGGTGCAATCTCGTGAAAGGCGGGAGTGAATTCAGCAATCACTCGGCATTACTTTGTGATGTCGGGGGCTTTTCGTCACTGGTAGCTTCATTGACAGTTTGATGGGCGCTCTGGGATGTTGCTTGGAAATGGCGCTCTGGGGTATCGTTGTGGGCGGTCGCTCTGGGGTGGTCGCGTAGTGTTCCAAGTGGAAGTATTGGGGCTGAGGAGACAGCGCTCAGAAACTGAGATCCCCCGGACCCCAAGATATCAGGCTAGACACCAAAAGTGTCGCAAGCGCCACTTTTAACGGAGCTGTGCGTTCTCAATGATCTGCGCAATCGACTAGAGACGGACGTCGAGCTTCGACACTTGTGGGACTGGCGGTAGCGTTGGATTGGATGACGCGCTCCCGACAGCCTCAACCCAGGGCTGAGTCGTCCAATTCAAAGTCCGCGGTAATATCGCAATGTTGGTTTCTGACCGGAAACCTTTTGCGACGTTTTGTGGTACGATTGAAGAAGAAATGTTACAGCAAGTCAAATTCGTAACGGGGTTTTCGGCGCTGCTTCGGTGATTTTGCAGTGATGCAAAGTGCGACTTCAGGCGACCAGTATTCATATCGTGAGTATCTTATACCAGCCGTTAACAATGTCCCTGCGGGCTTGACTCGACGAGAATTTCCCTGTGACATTGCAGCGGAAAGGCCAATGCTCCAGGAAACTTTCGCGGCGCGTGTCAGCTCGAATGAGTGACATGTTTACGGGCCGGGCGGCAGCGCTATTTGACGCCTTTTGGGGGCTTAGGTTAGCCAATTGGCGGGCCGTGGCCGTGAGCGTTCAACTCACCACTCACCACCCGCACAATTATCGGCCTTGCTTCAGGCGTTCAGTAGGAAAAGTAGGAAAAATCGCGCAGTTACAACAAGCTTTCAGAAACCTTGTCGCAGATAAAGACGAAGGAAGAGCGCTGTCATGGGCACGCTTGGCGAAGGCGGTGTCTCCGCCTCACAAGCAGGGGCGAACGGAAGTAGCAGTGCGACGTCGGACACAGTCAGCTCAAAAACCCTGGAATGCAGGCACAGTAACCATGAGGTACGTCCGCACAGCTGACGACTCTTTACTACTATCATTGTCAACTATCAAACTTGCAATGCCCAGCGAAGAGGCAAGAAGCTCACTAGAAAAGTATTCAGAAGAAAATGGGAAAGGCATGCTTGTTTAGCAGCCATGATAGCGAGGCCAACACGCAGATGATCCTGAGAACGTTAAAACAAACCTGTGCGGAGAGCGCAACGAGGACCAAGACCGCGACCAACAAGATGCAATCCTTGAACGCTTTGAGCGAAGGTGCGGCCGTCATCTAGCGAGCGACATTGCCGTCGCCTTTCTTTATTCACGGAGCAAGGCAGTAAAGCAAATCATCGACACGCGAGTTGGACTTCATACCACCATACCCGTCAGGTCGGGGCCAGTGCTATCTCCATCAAGGAAGGCTTGAACAATCACGACCTCTGCCCAAGTCCACAAGATATAGACCGGATTTGATTTAGGCTTCTACAGCTTGATAAAGATCAGAGATCAGTCGGATCAGGCGATGACAGCGCTCTCAGAGATCAGTGCTACAACGCCAACGATAGGGATCTGTTGAATGTACTCCGATAACGTACACTGATCTACCAATACTAGCGCAGCTGTAGGATAGCAGTGAAGGCAAAGAAGAAGAGACGATTGGAAGAAGATGAAGACGTGGGTCTTGGGAGAACAACGCGCACCCGCCTCCTTCGCTGAGGCGTAATCTTCTACCGCCCACACAGCAAAGTCCAAGAATCGACACAATACCGTGGCCTATGGCTTCGTCTTACTACATGGACTGGAGTATGGACCATCCTGTCTGTATTGTCGAACTTGCTGTATTCCAAACATCTATATTCCTATTGTATACAATTGTGAATACCTGCAGGATACACCTTAGTAGTTGCCAAAGGAGACACAGGTTAGGAAACCCGAGCTTCCTTACATAAGTCTCTTCGGTTGTTTGTGTCTGGTCGGCTTTTCAGAGTAGGGTCACTCGGCATCGAATATTCAACGTAGCCTTGGTTTGCAGCATCGATACGTCCTACGGATAAGCTTTGATCAGCAGCATCTATGGGGTAGGCATTAGCGATGGGATCGACGGGCGGGATAACAGTTCATTGTGTGCTACTTGGCTCAAGATCAGTAATCTGCGATCAAAGCAAAGCAAGCGTATCACTGGAGTCGCCTGCAAAGTAGCAGCTCTTAGAACAATTTGCAAAAGATTACAATTGAGCATGAGCTGCTGAACTTACAAGGAAGGCATGCTCGTAGCTACGGTAAGCAATTCTCGACTGTTCGGCAGTGTCACCACGGCGATACCAAGGCGGAGCTTATCGCTCCTCCAACGCCATGTGGGAACCCACGGATGAGGCCGTTGTACGGAGGTCTATTCCTGATGAAGCATGTCCAGCCGTATCGCAGTGTTGTAGGACGTAAACCTTAGCGCTAGATATCGGAATGATTCCGTCAGAGCACCCGTGGATCCCCAATCTTGGTCAACGCAAACACAAACACAAGCAGGCTGCTTGTCTTCATCACCTACGAGTTTGACAGATACTCCTACGCCCGTGTCATGGTACAAGATGCTATCGATTGAACATGCAGTTGCCTGACCTCCTAGGGTCATCAAAGACAGCTTCTTCGCAATGTGTCTTGAGCTCGCGTGCCCCTGCCGGCCCGCGATCTCCTCCACACCTCCTACTGTCTAGGGTAGTCTAGCCGAACGCCGAACCGTGCACTGATAAAGAGATAGCATCTCGCTCGTCGTCATTCGCCGCGCAAACGCCTATCACCCATACTAATGGGTTATGACGCTGCTTTGGGCCGCTGCCCATGTGTTGCAGCATGGCTTCGCGTGTACTCTCCCGCTTGGTGTAGGGACACCCCGCTTACGACCCTGCTGCACAATGATATGCAGACTGGGGTATGGGCGTATATAGACGAGTTGCTGCACTTTGCGCGTTGCTAGAGTTCTAGTGTACCGGTTCGTGTCGCGATCTTTTCATTAGTCGGGTGCGTTCTTCGACTGCGACTGCGACTGCGACTGCGACGACGACGACGACAACAACGCACGTATGCGTTTTCCCTTGCAACAATGACGACTTCCCACCATCGGAACCCCTCCGTCGCGGAAGAACCTGTGACTTCTGTTCTTCCAGACGGCGACATACCTTACGATCCCACGCATTCTTTGAACCCGGATGAAGAGGTTCTGGCGGCACTTGGTTACAAATCCGAGTTCAAGAGAGAATTTTCCCTCTTTACCACATTCTGTGTCAGTTTCGCAGTTCTGGGTCTACTGCCCAGTTTCGCATCTACACTGTATTATGGCATGGGCTATGCAGGGACAGCTGGCATGACCTGGGGTTGGATCGTAGCCATGATAGGAATTCAATGTGTGGCTATGAGTATGGCGGAGCTGTGCAGTAGCATGCCGACGAGTGGAGGGTTATATTATGCTTCTGCCGTCCTAGCACCACCTGGTTGGGGACCTTTTGCTGCGTGGCTCACTGGTTGGAGTAACTGGCTCGCTCAGATTACAGCGGCACCGTCCGGCAAGTACAAAACCGTCATCCCTTGTTGATGATTATGGGCAAAGAGTTGACTGTTTGAGCAGTCAATTATGGAATTGCGGCCATGATACTTGCGGCGGCTAGTATCAACGACCCATCTTACGTCCCCACAGACTATCAGACGTTCTTGCTAACCGTCTTTATCATGATACTGCATGCCATTCTTTCCTCGATGCCGACGCGCTGGCTCGCACAATTCAATTCTGCTGGTTCGACATTCAACTTCATCGCGCTCGTTGTCGTCATCATCATGATACCAGCCGGCACAGACCGCACAGAACGTGGCCTTCCTCGTTTTGCTCCTTCGAGCGAAGTTTGGGGCACGATCTATGAGGGAACATCCTTTCCAGCCGGCATCTCAGTTTTAATGTCCTTTATCGGCGTTATCTGGACTATGTCCGGCTACGATTCACCGTTCCATCTTGCAGAAGAATGCTCTAATGCGAACATCGCTTCCCCGCGCGCTATCGTCCTAACGTCGGCCACCGGGGGTATATTTGGCTGGTTCCTGCAGCTGGTTGTTGCATACACTGTCGTTGATATCGACCTGGTCCTTGACTCGGAGCTTGGGCAGCCGTTCGCCGCGTACCTGATGCAGTGTATGTCGCAAAAGATGACATTGGCCATCCTTGCCCTAACCATCATCGCGGGGTTCAGCATGGGTCAAGGGTGTATGATTGCCGCAAGCCGAGTCACATTCGCCTATGCTCGTGATGATTGTTTCCCTCTGAGTAAGTACTGGAAGAGAGTCAACCGACATACTCAAACGCCTGCAAACGCCGTGTGGTTCAACTGCGCAGTCGGTATACTGTGCCTGCTGCTCATCTTTGGTGGAGAGTTGGCAGTTGGAGCGCTGTTCTCGATTGGCGCTATTGCAGCTTTTGTGTAGGTTTATGTCATCACAGTTAGATTTCTCTGCTGACAGCGGATAGCGCATTTACTATACCAATCTTCATCCGCGTCTTTTTCGTAGGGAACCGTTTCAGACCGGGTCCCTGGAATCTAGGGAAGTACTCTAGCGCAATTGGCAGCGTCGCATGCGTGTTCGTCTTGCTTATGATACCTATCCTATGTTTCCCCAGCATAACCGGAGCAGACTTGACGTAAGGCCCAACAGAACTTTGGTATCATCCCGAA